CGCAAGGCTGGACACGGAGTGGTGGCTCATGGCAGGTTCAGGGCAGTACTGATTTGGAGAGTAGACATGCCATGTTTGGAGCTACCGTTGGAACTGGGGTAGGATAAAGATCTGGAGCCTGTGTTTAAGAGGAATTGAGGAGGGGATTGGGGAAGGAACATTGTAAGCTATAGTTGAGTAGTGAGGCTACAGTTGATGAATGAAAACCAGTGTCAGACTGCCTCCCTCAGGGTGTTAGGAGTTTACAGTGTGCGTTGGCGGTCTGTCTACGTCTCTTTCTCTGGGAAGAGCAGTGTAGAGGTGTCTCTGTCTATTTGGGACAAGAACTGTCTTTTTCCCTCATTTTCACTGTACATTGCTTTTCTCAAACTTAGTTAAGGGTGTATGCTCCTTAAAATATGCGCAGGTGTTTGTGAACATGACTTCTTCTCATGACCCCTTTTCTGAAATCAGTAAGTTAGCTGAGCTTTCTGCGTACAGAGTCCTTGAGGACGGAGCATGAATGTGGGGGCACATATTTCCAAGAATTAATGAGGTTCAGGTGTTATTTAATGAGGTCTTTTCAGTAAGCAGTCCTGTTTGCCCATCACTTTCGAATGTCCTCCATAAACTTGATGACTCTCGGCATTATTCTAAAAGAGAAGTGTACTCCACAGTTTCTAAACTAACAACAGCAATTTTTTAAAAAGTCCAGATAAGGCATATATAGGAATCTTAATAAGAAATGCTTATTGTTTAGAAGCTAATTGTTGGCCTCTTTCTGGAGAGAAGTGCCTTGAAAATAAAAATAAATTATAAGTGGGATTTAAATTCTTGGGTCTCCACTGGTAACAGTCACAAATAATGTTTTTCATTTCATGCAGTGTGTCTGATTTTCAAAATGTCATTTCAGTCCACAAGTTGCCTTGTGAGGTGAGAGGTAGTTTTCACCCCATTTTGCAAAGTGGAAATTGAGGCCCAGAGGAACTGAGGTGATTTGTGTAGGCATTAGTATGCTTCAAAGCTTGACTGAGATCCAGTTACCTGGGCTTTTGTTCTTTCTACCACCCTAGAATCCCCTTGGTTTGGGGGTTGGCCTTAGGAACAAATGCCTACATGTCATGGGGTGATCTCTCTGTGACAGAGCCCAGGTTTTAGAGTCTAGCTGCTGTCTTGGGGAAGTTATTAATTTCTCTGGGGCTTAGTTTCCTCATCTACAAAATGGGGGTGGTAAAACTAACTTTGCAGGCCTAATACAAGGCAGACACATAGTAGGTACTTGATAAGTCCAGTCCACTCCCTTTGCTTGCTTGACCTTGTGTACCTGCTCCTGAGGGTTGGTGATTCCTGGCTTGGTGACCTGCCTTTTATAATACATAGGGTTGGGAAAGGTCTTGTCATCATCTCACTCCAGTGCTTCAGTTCATAGCATTATGAGAAGCAGCTAAAGCTCCTCTTTAACAGACCAACCCAAAAAATGGCTCTGTGTTTATAACCTCCCTTCCTTGCTACATCTATCAGTATTATAGACATTTGGTCTTGGATATGCAGGAAGCAGAAGCAGCTCCTTTTATGGACAGGGAAATTGAGGCAGCGAGAAGGTTACTTTCTGTCCAGGCTCTCCTGACACATCCTTGGCAGAGTTTGGAGTAGAATCAAGTCACTTTCTAACTGGGCTTCTCCTGGCTGATATTGTCTAGTCTTCATTTCTTTTATTTGTTTCCAATGGGAGTTAGTTGAGCTAAGACTCTAGCTCACTGTTTTGAACTTCAGCCCACACCCCTCCAGCAAAATAATCAGCATTCAAGTAGCTTAAGCCAAGAAAAGGGAGGTCTTTGTTTAAACCATCCCACTGTACTTTGGGAATCCAGACAGCACAGAAACCTGGCAAGCAGGCTTTTAAATTAATAGATTTATTTAATGACACCAAGAAGCTGCATGTACGGGTTTTTTGGTCTTCTCTCCCTGAGATCTGCATGACTCAGTGTGCCTGAGGGCATGCTGTGGGAAATGTATGCCTTTTTCTCAGGGACACTGGCTCTTCTCTGTGCAGGGGGATGTTCTAGGTGAGATTGTCAATTGAGTACACTCAGGCTGAGGACTCAGGATAAACCATTGTCTGACCAGCCAGTTTCTTCAGTGGGTAACATGCCTATAAGATGAAACTGGCAAATGTACCAGAATGCCCCATCCAGCTTAGTGATGTCCCTTTCACTGTTGTCTGTTCAGGAAGCCTCACATAGGCACCATGGATATTGATTGTTCAAACTGTTGGGTAAAACACCCAAGGCAGCCCAATTTTTCAGCCAAGTGAGAAAATTGTTTTGAGATTTTTTTTTGATATCCCCATTTTTGGTACCAATACCAATTTAGATAACTTGTAGTTATTTCCAGAGTCATACTCACTCTTAGAGGACCTGAGAGAGCATGACCCATGTTCAGGAGATCAGAGGAATATTCCCTGAAGGTAGAACTTGTTTCTTGGACAGGTGCACTTTGTGTGTGTACCTTGTTCTTTCAAAGAACCAGGTCAGGGACCACCAGGTTAATAGTTGAGTCTGTTGCTTGAGTTGGGAGCTATTCCTTCCCATGGTGCGGGAGTTGGGTGATAAAGGAAGACATGCTCCATGTTTGTAGTGACAACATAGTCACCTTTCTCTGGGCAGACTTAGGGTGTTCTTTCCTCTCTACGTATGCCCCTCACTGATGCCCAATGTTGTGGCCACAGCCAGTCTTTCTCTAGCCAAAAATCTGGTCACAGCTGGCTCCCCAGGTAGTAGTCATATCCTTTTTCCTCAGTACCTAAGCTGGCAAGCTGGTCATCTTTCTGCTTGCACTATTGGCTGGGAGAGCTCCCCCATTCAGCCAGCATCCCAGAGCTAGTACAGGGAGGTAACAGATGTTAGAATGTGTGTGTGTTGTGGGGCAGTGGGGGTGGGGGGTAGCTAAAATTAGAACTCAAAACTGTAAGGTGCAAAAAATGGCAAAAGCGTCCATTGTTAAGGATTTCACAGGCCAGTTACAAATCCAGACAGTCTTTTCTTTGTCCTACAGAGAAGGAATGAAATATCTGTTGATGGAAAGTGAAGCAGTCATTTGAAATGATGTGGGTGATTTCAGGGTAGCAGGATTCTGGGTGACATTTTCCCCTCTTTTCAGCTTTTCTTATATTTCCCAAATATTCTATAATAAGTTCCTTAAAGTATCTTAAGTAAGAACAAATTAAACTTGGTAAAATCCCAGGCAAACCTCTTCCGTTGTTGGACCTTGTGTTCTGACTTTCAGATAAGAGGTACAGCCACCCTAACCAAGGCAAACTGAGAGCTCCTCTTCTTGTCTCCCGCTCTGGAAATCTGAAGTTGGGCATTACCAGGTTTTCAGAGGATGCTTTGGGCATAGTTCTGCCTGGAGGCAGGGGGTAGACAAAGCAGCCTCTCAGAGCCCCTTCCCACTACACATAGCCTGTGCCAACAGGGAGCGGCTGAGTATGGTGACATTCTGCCTCAGAGTGGGGAGTTGTAACAAAAGTCTGGCTGGGACGGAGGCCTGGGGCGGGGAATCTGGAGTGAGTGCCTGGGCTGATAAGGAGCCAGTGATCTTTCTGCTCCATGGGACACACACCTCCAGCTGCCAAGCATCCACATTGCCGGCGCCTTGGAAAGGTGGTGCTTTCTACAGTGGCCCTGCTGCTGGCAGTGCTCAGGACGTGCAGTGGCCATGCAGCTTCTGCAGAGAACTTTCCCCTTGGTGCAGGGTTGTGGTGGCTGTGGCTCAGGACACTGGAAAGATCACTGTTCTTTGAACAGCAGTGGCCTTTGAAGAGAGCGTCATATCTCCATGGTGGAGACTACCATTTCTCCTATCACATCTCTTTAAGTGAGCCTGGTAAAAGACAGCCAAAGTGCTTTTTCCTCAGCTGTGTCCAGCTGGATCCTTCAGCTCTGTCTCCTCAGGATCCTGATCCAGTCCTCCAAAGAAGATTTTCTCCATTGTTCAGTCAGAGATCCTGAATTTAGTATACTCTGCCTGGCGTCCAGCTGCATGAATCCTGTTGCCCACTGGAGTAGTGGACGAAACCCAGCCAGAGAATGCTGAGGCTTGCACTCCAAGGAAAGCTTGCTGGTCCTGGAGTTGGCAGGATCTTACAATCAGGCATCAAGTTGTTCAAGGATAAGTATTGAATTTGTGTGGAGGCATTTGTCACTGTTGATTTGAAAGACTGGCAAATGCAGGGTCTCTGTGGAGGCAGGTGAGAAGGAGGATCTCCATTATCTCTTTAATGTGGTACCAAGATGTTCCCAGAATTCTAGCCCTCCAGGGTTAGCTTCTCCAGGGGAAGGTCCATGCCACTGTGATGCTGATGGGGAAGCACCAGGGATCTTCACTGGCACCTGAAACCTACTTCATTTCTTCCCACTCTCCAGGCATGGCACAAGGGGTTAATATCTCCAATGGCTCTATTTTGGGGCAAATGGAGTGTTCCCAGAATAGGACTCTTTGTTGAGTAGTCTATTTTGGGAGGCAATCCCCACTGGCATTTATGTAAGCATTCTCTGTATGTGGGGGTGTAGATGTGTGCGCAAGTGATTTCTTGTTACTAATTATAAACAGCTTCTTTTGGGAGTCAGGGAAATGGAGGTGTGTGTGCTCATAAGCATGTGGATTGCTCTTTCCTGCTGTAAAGAGTGGTGCATGCCCATCCGTGGGGCAGTCGTCACACCGGAGTAGGAGAGTGACTTGGGAGCACCTTAGGACAACAGGTGGGAATGACCATCTCAATTCCTCTGTGGAGTGTCTGGAGTTGTACCCATCTGTCATCCCTTTGGTTCCCTGAAGCACCAGAGCAGGCTGGACATTGTGGCCCACTGGCTGCAGTCTGGAGTCAGGTGATCTCCAAAAGATTGGGTCTTGGTTGTTCTAAGTTCAAGCAACCAGTTCCAACCTGGAACAGATCTCAGACTCCACTTCCTACTCTGCAACTTGGCTCTTTCTCACTGGATTCCCCCTACATCTCCTGACAGGCCAAACCCACCTATGTCGAAGCAAGAGAGAAACCAAAGACCATCCAGCATGGTCAGTGAAACATCCACGGCTGGTACCACGTCCACTCTGGAGGCCAAGCCTGTACCCAAGGTGAGCTCCTGGCTACTGGTTCTTCCTTCTCTGCTTTTATTATTTGCCAAGCTTCTTTGTAACAGAAGCCCATTTGATCATCACTGTAGTTTTGGGAGGGAGACATAAGAAAATGCTCTCCACAAATGATAGATCAGGAAGAGGTGATCAAGAGGGGTTATGGCCTTTGTCCAAGGAAATAGAAAATTGCTGATAGATCAGGACTGATCTCTGGTTCCTTGAATGCATTCTTCACTTTTCTGGCATGTGTCAAGAAGGCCACACCTCTGTTCTCATGTGAGTGTGTATTAAAGTCTGGCTATATTTGGTAATAGATTGGCTTGAGGATGGGTACTCTCCAGAAGTTCTGTACTCAAGCTATGGGAACACTAAGGAACAAGGAAAAGAACCAGCATTGCAGAAAGGGGGAAAGTGCTGAGAGGTGAACCCAGATAGGAGGAGAAAATATTGGGAAATTGACATGTATGAGCAAAAAGTAGCTTTGCTCCAGGAAGCCCACAGGCTGTATTAGAACCAACAGCTGCTGTTGAAAGTTGATTGAAAAATCCCTTTGTTTTTTTTTTTTTTCCCGTGACCCAGCTGGGAGGCTTGCCAGGTCCTGGTCTCACTTTTAATTAGAACACAGTGGCCGTGTGCGTGCCTATTCCATCTCGTTGCTGTTTTGGTCAAAGGGTTCTGCCACGAACCCTCGTAACATACAAGTGGTTTTTTGTGTCTCCCTAAACCCCCTGCTGCTAGAATTTAAGTCTGTTTCTTTTTTTCCTAGATAATCAAGTCCAGCAATAAAGTCCACAGCTTTGGGAAGAGGGACCAGGCCATTCGGAGGAACCTCAATGTTCCAGTAGTGGTGAGGGGCTGGCTGCACAAACAGGTGAGAAAGGAGAGGTGAAGGGCTGGCTCTTGCTGGTTTCTTTCATCTCTGCTACCAGGAAGCTGAGACTAGTCAGAGAAGCGTTCTGTTCCTGACTTTGTGTGGGACAAGTAGATTTTGCCCTCTGTGCTGAGTGATTTGCTGTTCGTTTTCATGAGTTAACTGTCTGCTCAGGGGTTAAAGCTTATCTCCCAAAACCCACTTGACCACATTGGCCCCTGGTGCCATTGGCTGCTCTGAAGCCCAAGCTATAATGCATGTAGTCACCCTGAATCCAGCCTCGCTCTTCATCCTCTGCCAGCACTTGCCGCCATGATGTTAAAAGTCTTTGTTATCATTTGGCTGAAAAATCTCATCTTTCTTCTCTTCCTTGTCTGGCACACATATCTAGCACCTCAAATTCCAAATCAGTCAAACACATCTCATTATCATCTCACCTCTTACCTCTCTCTTTCTTCTTCCTAGTATGGTTTTCTGGGTCTTTTAATGTGGTACTATTACAACCCTTCCAGGCATGCATGTTAGAAACCTCACTACCATTGTCCACTCCTCCTCCTCCTCCCACATTCATTTAGTCAGGAATCTCAGGCCATCCTTCATCACCATCCCCACCCTCCAAGCTGATCTGCCTCTGGTCTTCTGGACATGGCTAGGCTCTGAGCTTCCAGGGCCAGAGACCATGTCTCTTTTGTTCTTTCCTTCTGTCCTTGCCATTCATCCATTAATTTTCTCCTCAAGTGCCTACCATGGTCTGAGTGCTCTCACAGTGGTATAAAGAGATGAGTAATGTGTTCCTGGCCTTGAAGAACTTATTGATGCTAGGGGAAATAGAGAGCGCATCTTTCTCATCACATCGTTGCTCAGCCCAGTCTCTCACCTATTACAGCATCTCCAAAAAGCCACCAGTCAAACTCCAAGAACAGTGATGTCCACTTTCTGAAGGCTTTTGTAGGAAGACAAAGAAGGGCATTACATTGCATACCAAGGAAGGAATCCCCCAAAGTTCCTTTGACAGCTCGTTCCTCAGTTCTGCAACTGGTGGCAAGGCCTATAGCACTCAGCCTATTCTATCCTGGCCCTACCCTCTCCCTTCACAACTATGGTCTCCTCTGTTTTCTTACATCTCCTTTCCTTATCTGAGTAATTTAACCTTCTAACTTTTTTCTATGTGAAACAAAGAATGCTTTTTTGAAACCTGTGGCAGGAGGGGGAAGGGATTGTAAATAATTCTTCTTTCCACCTTTCACCCCTATGCTGTAGCCATATGGGTTTGTGTCGAGTACAGTGCACACACAGCAGAGTATAGCTGTGCTTGGAAAGTCCAGAAAGGCTCCTAGGGAAAGTGACATTGGAACCAGGTATGGAAGGATGGGTAAGAGGTCTCATGTTAATAGAGGATGCAGATACCGAGTGCCAAGACCTTAGAAATCACCTGGTTGATTTGCAGATAATAAAACTGATAATTGTATGACATCATCGGTTAAATTTGCTTTTAGTTCATGTTATGTTTAGGTGTGGAAACTATCAGGTTCTTTGGATTTTGTTTTATTGAAGCTTGTCACAGATCTCTGCACAAGGAAGAGAAATTTTAACAGCTATTTGTAAGCTAAAAGTAGCTCTGAGGTTTTCCTAGGTTTGGGAGAAAACTAACCCTATAATGTTGCTGTTTTTCTACGACGGTTTTTGCAAATTCACAGTTATTTAAAATGTTCTTAATAAATGTAAAGGTTTATATTTTCAGATGAATAAAGACAGTCTCTTGCTATGAGGAAATTTGATAGCAAAGAGGATCCAAATGTTTTTACATTAAATGAAAAGAAAACAACAACAAAAATCAGTCCTTTCTGGTGGAGAACTGAGCTTAGTTAAATGCAAATTTAGCTGCAGTTAATTAACTAACTTAAACTCTATTCAATACTATGTAAATTCAGTTTTCTAATCAGCATAAGTGAAGGTATTTCACAGCCTACCACCTAAAACAAATCAAAGCAAAACAAAAACTTTCTTTTTGTTAAGAGCTGGTTCCTTTTTTAACTGAGACTCAGTTTTTTTGAATTCACATTTTATTTTCTGTATGAAGATGAATTATAATAATTTGTTTCCAGGAGACCAAAAAACCTGACTTCCTGTAATAAACCCTCATCTGTCCTATTCAAAGACTAGCTATTCAGTAAAGCATTAATTTTTTTTGAAAGAAAGAGTGAATATGGGCAAGTCTTGGTTCCAGAATCACTAGAAGGGAACAGTATGGTCAGAGTTTGCCCTGACTAGTGTTTTTTTTTTGTTTGTTTTTGTTTTGCAGGACAGTTCTGGGATGAGGCTGTGGAAAAGAAGGTGGTTTGTACTTGCTGATTACTGCTTGTTTTACTATAAAGGTGAGCTTGAGGTTCAGGTCGTTAAGGGCTCTTTGTGCCAGAGAGGGTGGTGAGGAGATATAAATGGTGGTTTTTTAAAATCCAGTTGTTGGAACAGTGGCCTGAGCTAATTAGTAACCTATTATTCTGCCACAGTGCTCACTTGTATTATGTGAATGTTTGGGAACTTCATTTTTACCTGGAAGTTAAGCTGTTGAGTCCAAGTAAAGAGACTCCACTTTACCTACTACTTAGGACCTTAAGACCCAGAGTCACCTCAGCTTCTCTCCCACTTGAGACATACGTATACCTTAGAGACAGTCTAGATAACTGGGCCGGGTGGGGACATCATTACACTTTGTAACCTGTCATCAAGGTTTATCACCTTTGATACTGGATAGACAACTGATGAATTGAATTGGACATTTGAGCTTTTATGGAGCATTGCATAAAGCTAGGGACTGGGCAGTGTTTAGAAGGAAGTTTCAAAATATGGAGGAAGAGACAGAGACATTTTAAAGACAAGTCTAGACTATTATCAGTGCTTTTAAGGACATCTAAAGTCCTTAGGCATTTTAGGGGGAATGACAAATGAATTCCATGTTGGAGAATCTGAGAAGGCTTCTTAGAAAACATTGGATATGAGTTGGGAGTTTAAGGATGAGTACAGCTTTGCCTGTGTGGGTAGAGGATGGGCATTACAAAGACAGAACACATCTTGAGTAAATTCTAGAAGCAGAAGGAGAGATAGCACATATAATTGCATAGTCAGGTGAGTCTTGCATGGGGAGTATATTAGGAGACCAGCTCGGGATGTGGGTATGGGCTTCACAGATAGGCATGGGAACTGGGGCTTTGCTTTGTGTTCAGTGGGGAATTGGCAAGTGCCTTTGGATCAGCAACAGGACCAACTTTGTCACTAGGAAGTAAGATAGCTGGTTATGAAGATGCATTGAAGAAGGGGAGAATAGAAGTAGAAGGCAGGATGTTTTACACATGCTCGTGACTGCCTGCAAGGTTTGTTCATCCCAAAATGCCCTTCTCAATCCCTGAAAACTTCTTGACTTCTCTCGACCATGTACAACTCTCGTCTCTGCCCACACAGCACTTGACATACTGCCCTTTTCAGGAGTTACCAGGTTATGTTGCATGTGTTTACATGGTTTTCTCTGCCCTTGGGGAGAGCACTGTGACTGGCCCATCTGTGTAGTTCTGTATTAGCACAGAGGGGCCAGGGAGCTAAACAATCTATGGAGAGGAGATGGTGTAGGCCTGGGGAAACAGGAGTCCTGGTAGGATGCCCAAAAGGTTGTTTTGATGTGTGTTTCCATTCAAAGACAGCCGAGAAGAAGCAGTCCTCGGGAGCATCCCTCTGCCCAGCTACGTGATCTCACCTGTGGCCCCTGAGGATCGCATAAGTCGCAAGTACTCCTTTAAGGTACTGCTCCTTTTCTAGTGCAGCAATCCATCTTAAGAATCTGTGTTCTTGGCCGGGCTCAGTGGCTCATGCCTGTAATCCCAGGCAGAGATCAGGAGAATGGCAGTCCAAGGCCAACCCAGGCAAAAAAGCGAGACGCCATCTCAACCAACAAGCTGGATGTGGTGTTGTGTATCTGTGGCCCCAGATATGCAGGAGGCATGGATAGGAGGATTGCTGTTCAGGTTCGTCCCGGCAAAAACCCTGGGACTCTATCAGAAAAATAACAAAGCAAAAAGGAGTAGGGTCAGGGCTCAAGTGCCTGCCTACCAAGCGTGAGGTTCTGATTTCAATCCCAGTACTGCTAAAACCAAAACAAACAACAACAAAAACTATGTTCTCAAAAATGCCTTCATAAAAGAAGAACGAAATGTTATCATTCGCTGGTAAATGGATGGAATTGGAGAACATCATTCTGAGTGAGGTTAGCCTGGCCCAAAAGACCAAAAATTGTATGTTCTCCCTCATATGTGGACATTAGATCAAGGGCAAACACAACAATGAGATTGGACTATGAGCACATGATAAAAGCTTTAGCACACAAGGGAGGGGTGAGGATAGGTAAGACACCTAAAAAATTAGCTAGCATTTGTTGCCCTCAACGCAGAGAAACTAAAGCAGATACCTTAAATGCAACTGAGGCCAATAGGAAAAGGGGAACAGGTACTAGAGAAAAGGTTAGATCAAAAAGAATTAACCTAGAAGATAACACCCACACACAGGAAATCAATGTGAGTCAATGCCCTGTATAGCTATCCTTATCTCAACCAGCAAAAACCCTGTTCCTTCCTATTATTGCTTATGCTCTCTCTACAACAAAATTAGAAATAAGGGCAAAATAGTTTCTGCTGGGTATTGAGGGGGTGGGGGGGAGAGGGAGGGGGCGGAGTGGGTGGTAAGGGAGGGGGTGGGGGCAGGGGGGAGAAATGAACCAAGCCTTGTATGCACATATGAATAATAAAAGAAAAAAAAATAAAATAAAACTATAAAAACAATGCCTTCATAAAAAACAGGTACTTTTGTGGAGAGGGGAAAGAAGTTAGGAAGCTAGAGTGTTTCAGATTCAGATTAACAAAAGTATGAATTATTTAAATAATATAACAGCACCAGTTCTTTCATATAAACTTGAGCTGTGGAGTCCTCAGCTCTGTTCCAAGTATTTAGGCCATGTTTTTCCGTGGCTAATAGTCTTGCAATTACATATCTAACAGTCCTTTTTTCAAAAACCATTTTTATTAGCATATACTAGTTGTACAGGGGGTTAGGATCACCCCTACCATCCTTCATCCCCCCCACACACTTAAAATGATTTCATACAAGTATATCAACCACATTCATCCTCCTTTACCCTCTACATTCCCCCTCCCCCTCCCACTGGGTCCCCCTCCAATGGGACCTGTTTTACATTCCTGTCCTTCATTTATTAAGTGTATATTTATTGTTCAAAGGCATTTCACCTGTGAGTATATTGTATTTTTATCAGATTAACCCCCTTTATTACTCTCCCTTCCACTTTCCCCTTATTATTCAGCAGCTTTCAGTGCATTATGCCATCTTCCTACACAGATGCAATGTACTTCAAAATCATTCACTCCCTATCAGTTTTTTTTCCTCTCCCTCCTCCTTCCGTCCCCTCAAACAGTCCCACTATCATGAACATGTTATGTGTATGTATATATGATCATGCTTGTTATTTGTGTATTTATCTTTTGAATCTATCTTCCACATGAGAGAAAACATGCAACCTTTGCCTTTCTAGTACAGTCCTTTTTTGTGCTTCCTTATCATCACAACAGCCATCTAATTAGTATCTAGCCACTTACATGCAGTTGAGGGTCCCCCACAATGAATTTATGTCAATTGTATTATGAAAACTCACATTGAGGGGTGGGGGCTTGCATGATGAAGAGATATTCAGGTTTGTCCGCTTTGTCTATCTTGTTGAAAGGAATTAGAATAAATGTGGCTTATTTTCTGGATCATCAAAGATCTCTAGGCAGACCTCTTTGCCAGCAGAATCCTTTTCTCCTTTTGTGGCTATGCCGTTTGGAGTGGGGCCATGCTAATTGATGGTAGACCTTTGATGCCCTCTGACAGCTGTGTGGAAGCTGCAGGAAGGTAGTGGTTAGGTCCAAACTTTGGAAGTCCTGAGTCCTCTGTTATTGGCCTACACAGATGCCTTCACCATAACTGTTTCTTGGGTCCCTCAGAAATGGTGGGGTGTGGTGAACTGAAGATTCCCTTTACTGGCTGTTGGAGCAGAAATCCCAGACAGCACTGCAGCAAGTGATTTTTGGTGCTAGCAGCCACAGGCCACAGCTTTTTCATGGCTCCTCAGGGTTCAAAGCAATGCCATACACTTCCAGCTGGGTAGGAGCTCCTGCCTCCATTACACTTGTTGATTGACTTTCCTATGTTAGAATACAAGATGAGCACTACACAGTGTGTACCAAAGCAGAACTGAACAGTTCTATTGCCTCCCTACAGCCTATGCAGAGTTTTGATTCCATCAACAGATTAAACCATTCATTAGATCTAATCACCCTCATGATGTAATCACCTCTGGAAACACCTCAGAGACCCATACAGAGGTGTGCTCTTTCTAATCTCCTAGGTGCTTCTAAATCCAGTCAACTAGGCAATCAAGATTAACCATCACACCTTCTATCTGTAAAATCAAGTGCTTTAATGTTCCTGAGGAGCCTGTAAGTCAGTTTTACTATTTTTATTTTATAGATTAGGAATGGGAGAATCTGAGAGCTTAAGAAATTGTCCAAAATTATAAAGTTAGAAGATGATATAGGCAGAAATCAGCCCTGAATCCTATCCTCTTTCAATTCTCTTATGGGGAAAGAAGGGGACTGGTAATGATTTTTTTTCTTCTTCTCCACTTTTTCTTCCATGTCATCTTGGTCACTTTGTGCATGTTGCAGGAGGAAGGAGGTGGTTCCAATGGACATTTATTGTATCTCTTAGAACTGTCTTCTATCCCACAGTTGAGGAGCCTTTCTGAAATCATTTTGTTTGTGGCTTTCCGACTTGTCTTTTGCAGCCTGAAGGTCTTCCTTAGAAAACCCCCATTTCGGGGTTGAGTATTTGGCAAACAGTTGGGGAACTGATGTTGCGTGTGATTTGGAGGAGGGCAGTGTTTGGAATATCCTCACAGTAACTTACCGTAACTATATATATATATTTAATCTTAACACTTCATTAGGAGGTGTGAAAATGGATTCTAAGTAAACATCTTTTATGTCTTGGGTTCTCTTTCCCTCCCTCTTTCTGAAAGATTTCACTAAAAATATTCCCTAAATCTTGTCTGGGAGACAGAAGGCATCATGTGTTTGGAGGGTATTCGGGATCCTCAGGGTCTAAGAATAGAGAAAGCTACTGCAGAGAGATCTGTCATGGTCAGCTGGTTCTATAGAAGGGGCACTGGTTTTCTGAGTCTGAAAGAGTAATCCCTCCCTTTGGGTTGCAGCCTTGTTCTTTTGGGGGCCAGAGAGTAAGTCTGGATCCTGTGATTCAGGATCCTTTTTCTTGGGCATATGGAGAAAAACAGTGTGCAATGCCCTGGGCCTCACACCTCCTCAGACATCAATTCTTCTCTGTGTGCAGAGCCAATGTCCTCTCACTTTGCAGGAACCCCTTGCAAGAGATTGTTCAGAGTTCCAGTAGTGGTGGGTAGGCACAACCCAAAAGGTCCTGTAGTCTTCTTGTCATTCTTTTGGCTCAACCAGGACTTCATGAGGAGCCAGAGTTCATGGTAGACTCTAGGATCTGTTCTGCCCTGACCAGCAAGGCTTTCATGCTCTGCTGGCTTTCCTGGAGAACCTGCCCACAGGGCGCCTCTGGTGTACACAGCCTCCTTCAGCCTGTTGGTTGCCTTCTGGCAAGTTTGACTCCTCAGGTCCAAGATCTGCAGCACAAAGCATACCCACATAGCTAAGGTCTAAGGACCTTCAGTGGGGAAAAGCCTTTACTGCCTCCACATAGTCCATTCTCCCTCTCTCAAGACTCAGACGTCCTTCTTGAGGTCTACAAACTACAAATGTCTACGAAATCACATCTTTAGTTTTTGACCTCTCACTGAAATATATTATTTCTTCCAGTTAAGAAAACAGACACAACAGATATCAGTGATAATTTAATTTGGTCACCAGTAGAAACCATGGGTAGCTTCATATCATGGTATAGTTGTTGGAGATACTTCAAAATACCATTTATGCACATTACCACTTTAAAACTACAACAATTATTACATGTGCCACTAGATTTGTTAGACAACACATTAAAGGTGCACCTGTACCATTGTATCACAGACTTAAAAATATTTTGATAACTGTACTTCAATACTACCTATTTCCTTTATTTTGTGTATTTAAAAACCTTCTGAGAGGTTACATATTTTCTCTCATATGTAGAAGATAGATAAAAATACAAATAGAAGCGTTATATATGCATACTGAATTACATCACATCTGTGTAGGAACAAGACACAACAAAACACATTGAAAACTGTTAAACAATACAAGGCATGGGGAAAAGGAGAAGGAAGAGTAATAGAGGGAGTTTGACCAAATTAACTACAATATATTTACAGGTAAAACATCAAGGCAAAGCCCCACTGAACAATGAACAGACACTAAAACAGTGGAGAGGAATGTAAAACAGGTCATGCTAAAGGGAAGAAGATAGTGGGGGGGGTGGGGAATGAAGAGGATAACAAAAAAAAAAAAAAAAAAGGAAAGAAAAATCTTCCTAGAGGGTTTGTAGAATTCAGCAGATTGTCAGTGGTGTCCGTGCTTCAAAAAAAGGGTAAGAATCTCTAGCAATAAAGGAAATGCAAATTAAAACCACACTAAGATTCCACCTCACCCCTGTTAGAATAGCCATCATCAGCAACACCACCAACAACAGGTGTTGGCGAGGATGCGGGGAAAAAGGAACCCTCTTACACTGTT